ATTATCACCGTCTGTAACGTACTAACACGGTAAGGAAAGCATCAGATGAGCTACCTGAGAAACTAACGTTACGTTTTCCCAATTTAAAACCAAACAAACATGGTGGTTCCGTGCCATGTTAATTTGTTTTGACAAAAGTTGCATGTTACGACTTTTTTCACTGTACAAAGCGCAGGCTATTTTAATTATTGTGATCAATTTGCGCCGTCAATCCCCGCGCATGCGCGCTACATTTGCAGTCTGGACGCTGAGGGGTAAACTTACTGCGGCTCTGACTGAAGCGCTGAGAGGGACTACTGCGGGAGAACGGGGTTGGGATGGGGTAGGCGCCCCACGGCAGAGTAGGAACGATACATGCTTTCACGTAAGAGTCTCCAAAAGCCGCCAGTGACACTGAAAAAGTCGCCAGATTTGGCGCTAGTCGCTTTTTTGAAAAATAGTCGCTGGAGGGGTCTGGAAAGTCGCTGAGTTAGCAAAACTGCACCTGCGGCGCTTACTCGCTCTGCCGTATTTTTTTTTTCTTCCCCCGTTTCAGTGAAGTAGATGTGATGACGGCGGCGGCGGATGACGCATTAATCGCACGACACAACTAAGCGATGATGAAATTCGATTTTATCGATTCGTTGTTGCAGCCCTAATATATATATATATATATATATATATATATATATATATATATATATTAAAAAAAAGAAACCTTCTTTCTGGTTCACAGTTCACAACAACTCTCTTTGTCACGATAAGTCCTTAGAGGTTTGTGACTAAAATGTGTTTCTTCCTCAGATTAAAAATATATATTAATACTCTTACTGCTGTTACGAGATCCTCCTGCTGAGATGTTTGGTACCCAATCGCCGTGATGCATGACGCAGTTCCACGGCTTCACGCCAGCGTCGGGCTCGCCCAGAGCCTGCGTCAGGTGACACACCTCCACCATATCAAAGTTCAGCTGGAAGTCGAACACGGACATCCTAGCAGAGGCAGAAACCATCAGAGTGAATTGCTTTTAGAGGTCTAACAAGCATTCAGACAGATTTGAAGGAGCTTCAGTGCGTTTATGGAGCTCCTCTGTGAGGAAAATTAGGGTAAAAAGCCACATTGTGCCTCATGTTAGTGAAGTGAGACCATGAAGGCGTTGGTAAAACTCACCAGAACTCCCCGTCCTCCCGTCTGACTCTGTTCAGGCGGCTCTGCTCCTCTGGGCTCACCGTCCTCCATTCTCCGCTGGAACAAGACGGCACACAGAAACACTCAGAATATGGAAAATCCGGCTTCTTAAGAGAAATATCAGAAGAAATGAGCCTAGAAAATAAACTCATGTTATTCTCTTTTTCTTTCTCAAAATATAATCTGCAGTTCTTGTTAAAGAGAAAACAGAACGGTGTCAGGGACCTGAGAAAATAAAAATAAAATCTCTGAGAAGTTACATTTACAACTTCTTTCTCATCAGTGAATCTTTTTCCTCTTATACTTTTTATTATAATGATACGTTGTTGTATTTCCTTCCACTGCGTGGCGCTTTGGCCGCTTTATAAATCCAGCTTTCGTGGATAAAATGTTTTGCATTGTTTGTTGAAGCAGTGATCAGTTTTGTCCCTTAATGCTGGTTTTCAGAAGTCCTTTAATCAATGCTGTCTGTTTATCTTATTAAATCCTGTCTGTTCCACAAAAATCTGGCCTTCAGTCCTTCATCATGGAAATTTAGAAAAGAATAGATTTTTCTAAAGTTGATAAATCGTAGCAAAATAATAAGTTAGTTTGTTTCTGTTATGCCTTCCTCTTGTGACATTAACACACCAAGCCAGAAAATAGATGTTTATGAGCACCAAAGTTATTTTTATGAGAAGCATTTATATAACGAAATAAATTATTAAGATATATGAAGGAAATCTTGACAGAATAAAACAATTATTCTTGTTAAACTTCTTAACGATAAAAAAATCTTTACTTAGAAATGGACTAAACAGTTTTGAGTTGTTTTGGTCACTGATGTTCTTTAAAATAATATGCAAATAGTTAAATGAGTCATCGCCCAGAAAGTCTGACTTTATCAGGTTAAAACATGTGTTAGTTTCAGGCTTCAAATAAAACCTGTCAGAAAATCTGCAGTGTGAAAGTGGCTTGGTTTTTTTTTTTGTGATATTGACAGTAATCCTGGATAGGTTCTACCATTAGCCCACATTGCTATCACCACGCCCGTCTTCATTTTATCAAAAGAGGCGATTCTAACATTGACAGACTCACCTGCAGGCAGCGGTTACTGTAAATGCTGCTGCTTGTGTAATCATTGACCTATTGTGTAAGAAACCACAAAACAAACCACGGCTGGCTACCAATGTTGCTACATCCACAATGTTCTCTTAAAGTTACAGTGTGTAATTTTTAGCAACATCTAACGTCCAGACTGCAGACCGCAGCAACATGAACATCTCCCCCCCACCGCTTCTCCCCCCCAACAGTACGGCGAGCGTTACGGGACAAAATGTCTTCCACGACGTCTGCATCACCTACCTTCTCAAGTGATGAGGTTTGTTTACATAGATAATTTTACAGATAGTATTCTCAGGCATAATACTGCCATCTATTGTTCAGTACCGTCTCAGTTCATCTCTCTCAACTTGCCGTAGGTACTTTCGAGCGTAATGGGCGATCTCGCAATCGCTAGTTTGTTGGCTCTGCGCTGCCGTAGCGCAAAGATGTCTGCCTCCATGGCTGCGAGACCCGCTCCTATGTAATTATAAATAACGAATTCTAAGGCAACGCAAATATTAAGGTTAAGAGGCTGAGCTCGTAGATGATGATAAATAACATACTTATGTATAATATATTACATTTCTGACTGTATATCCCTGTAATTATTACACACTGTAGCTTTAAGGAAAAAAGTTTATTAAAAGTGGTCCGAATAAGATGTTTTTTATATTTCCTCTTGCATTTGATTAAACAGGAATTTAAAGTTTAAATTAGGAAATTGTATAAGTAATATACCAGTTTATGACTCCTTTAATTGATTTTATAGAAATGAATGTATGGTTAGATGAGTCGACTCTGGTAGCATTTTGTGGGTCAGGGTCAATAGAAAAGGGGAATCTCTGTGAAAAATTTATTTCATAAATGACGGGAATATAAAAAAATATTTATTTTTCCTATAGCTAAACATAGAATCTGTGTTATTATTACTATTACTACTATTAATATTATTATTTGTATTTTTTCTGATGAGATTCTTACATTGATTACTTGACAGATCTTATATATAAAAGTCAGTTTTACCTTTTTCTTTATTTATTCTTTAGTATTTTTAGTTATTGTCCCTTATTTAAGCTAAAATAAACATCAATTTGCATCCAGCTGAGGATTTCCAGCACTTTTTTTCCACTTTCAAATTCAATCTTTCCAATCTGAATCCAGTTTGTTTTATTTAAATTGTGTTTACAAAACAAACGCTGTAACAACTTTAAATAATAAAGTTAAGAAAGTGTGCCAGAGGTGCATTGATGAAGGTTGTACATTTTAAAACAATAATTACATCACAAACCTTTATGTGATTTTTAAAAAATTTTTTTATTTAACTTAAAAAAGAAGAATCAATAAAATATTGTTGGCGAAAAGTTCCAACTATGATTTTTCCGTCTCAAAGGAAGGTAATCAACCGACTTCCTGATCAAGGAAAAACAAATGATAGTTTTTAATGTTCAGATTATAGGATCGATGATGTGGAAGATTAATTCAGTATCAAGTGAAGTGAAGTGAATTTTGACGGAGCATCTTGTTTTAACAAAACCATTCTACTTGTTGTTGCACTGACCTGTTAATGTCACTCCATGGTCCCGTCCACTCCGTGTTGCCCCATGGATTCAGGATTCGCACCAAATCTACAAACCCATTGCTTGTTTTGACCTGCAGGGGTAAGAGAAGATGTTTGGGTCTGTTTGTATGTTAGCAGAGAACGTTTTTATTTTCAACTTAAAGCTGAAAAGGTCACTGCAGATTATTCAAGAAATGCAGTTTCTTCACACAAGACTAGTTTTGACATCTTAATTTCAGATAATCCCTCCTTTTTTTGTTCCAAGAAAATTACCCTCTCGACTGCGGTCATTGAGTAAGCATGTTTGAACAAGATTCCCAGCTGGTTCTTCTGTTCCAGAGGACCCTGAGGGGAAGACAACATCAACCGTGATCAGAAAGGAGGAGGAAACATTACAGTTCAACATATTTCTACGTATTCTGTATAAAAAATGAAGTAAATTTAGATAGAAATGCATTTCCATTTACTAAACACAAAAACAATAGGAGACAGAAAACTATTCTTTTATTTTTTACTCTCAAATCTACATCCACTAAGATGATTTGAATTTAAACAGTTCAGGAAAGCACCATTAAATATGGCAGTTTCTGATTTGTAACATTTGCGGCAAATGGAGGCACATCTATGGATGTACTTTAATACAACACCACAAGCAAAGTGCTTCTTTGTGTGACATCATAGAAAAACATAAATCATGCAATATATCAGGAAGACCATTTCTGTTTCACAAAGATCAACTTGTTTCGAAGCTAAATAGGAATCTGGTTAGAGTGACTTAATATGTACAGTAAAACTATTTCTGTACCAGTGTGGGCTGAAAGGCCGCTCAGAGAGGAAGAAGCCATAGCTCCAAAACAAACATTAAACATTGGATCCCTGTTTACAAAACTATTCAGGGAGAAAAACGTTCCGATTTTGGATAGATCAGCAACCTTGACAACATAAAAACCGTAAATGTGAAGTGAGGCGGTGGCAGCATCGTGATGTGGGTGTGTCCCTGCAGGAGGGACTGGTGCACTTTTCACACAAAATGTGGAGAACAGCATCTCAAGAGTTTGAAGCCTGGGCACAAATGGGTCTTCAGGATGATGTTGGGGATTCCAGTCTGCAGATCAATGTATCAAACCAGTAACCACAGATAAAAACCCTCCACCTGCTTACCTTTCCGTTGGCACAGTTGATTAGCGCCCCTTTGGCCAGCAGGTTTCTCAGGAGTTCTGGCAGGTTTACGGACACCAAGGGGAGGTTAAAAACCTCAGTCACTCCTCCCGTCATGTCCACCATGGCTTCATGAGGGTAACCCATTTCCAGAGCTCTGTAGCCTCCTTTCAGTCTGACAAAGAAAACAAAGTCAGAAAAAAATACCTCAAACTACCTTAGATCAACGGTAAGCTTCTTTTTTAATGTGTCTGATAGGTGAAGAATTGATTTCTATTGTGTTTTTTTCTCCTTTAAAAATTACACAAATATTTTGGAAGAGGATAAGGAAAGTCTTTTTTATATATATCCTTTCTGTAATCTTATAATTCATGTTTTTTACAATTATCTACTATTGTTGTAAAACATCTGAAACCAAAACCCAGAAAATTAAAAACAAAAATTAGAAATTTTCCATAAACTCTCTGCCCACATTTCAAAAAGGACTCACTTGGCATAGGCTTTCTCCAGCAGAGAGCTCCAAAACTCGTTTCTTTCAGGGGAGCTGAGGTAGACCAGCTTGTTGCCTAGCGTTGGCAGCAAGTCATCGACCCGCACCTCCTCCCACTCCCCATACTGCCAGAACTACACAGAGATGTTTGTGCCACAGAAACATTAGAAACAAGTCCAACGCTGTAGCAGAGTTGTTTATTTTATACTCTTTACCAAAGGTCTACCATTTTAAAACAGCTCTAAATATGTAATAAATACAGTGACATTTGTTTATAAAGTTAAAGGAAGAGATTTAACACAGAATAGGTCCATAAAAAGTCTGATGTGCAGGCCTAATGTTTAGCTAAACTGTAGCTAAGCGACATATATAAAAATCACACAATAAACCTCTTTATGATGAGTCTTTATGATTTCTACAGGCAGGTTTACCACAATAGTAGATTCAAACCCTAAAATTATGCCGTTTAGTTACGGTCTGCTACCCCAAAATTTTTTGTGTCCCCATCTTTTCCTCTTTGGCTTGTAAATCTCAGAGGCGTAACATAGGGGTCGGCCAAACTTCTTTCACACGAAATCATAACCTTACTGTACCATGCTTAATGTTAATTGTAAAAACTGATGATTTAGGTTACTTGCACCGTCCCCACAGCAGCATGAGCTTGGCATAATGCACCTTCAAAGGATCCTAAGTTTTCCTCTCTAAGCCTTAATAAACACTGGAAGCATAAAATAAATTAGAATAAAATTATCTGCAAATTATATTTGCCATTTAAATGCCTTCCACTGCATTTTGCATTTGTTTTACATTTATGCAAATAATTCCTCCAGGAACGGCCTTATTGTTTTGTAGGATGCATTTACTGGACCCCATAAAAAATATCCATATTAAACTACAATTAAAATGACTGACACCATAATATTGCAGGGTGAAAGTAGAAATATTTAAAACAAATCAAAAACTATGTCATCAAGATTTCTACTAGACACATTGAGACGCAAACACCCCATGATTGGATCGTATAAATGTACTTATAGTATAAATACATACTCTGAAGGTGAAGCTGCCATTGTAGTCCTTCTCGAAGCTCTGAGTGAGAGGCACAACCTTCTTGAGCAGGTTGGGGTGTATAGCCACAGATGCTATAGCGGAGAGCACCCAGCAGTCACCTGCAGAGGACAGGCCAAGACATCAGAGGCTGACATAAAAAAAAATAATCTTTATATTTAATGAGCATAGTTCTTATTTAATTAACTTCAACCTGTTCGATGCAAGTATGAGGAGTGAAGTATCAAGCATCTTTGGCTAAATAACTGTCGTTATTCATGTTCCTAATAAAAATGAATCTGGTAACACAGTTTCAGTCTAAGACAAGAGTATGAAGTGCAACCTGCAAACTGTGATAGTTGTTAGTCTCATAACACCTAAAAATAAATAATTACTTATTTAGAAAGTTGCTATTGATTTTATTTTGACACTCCACAATCTAAATATAAACATTAACCAGTTTAGCTCATATTTCATTTCAAAATAAAATACTTTCCTGCCCTGGCAGATTGAAAGAGTTGGTGTTCACATTTAAGGCAACATTCATTGTAAAAATCCTGTTTTCTCTTTAAGCAAATGTAACGCTTAACAGTATGTTGAAAACTGGTCTGTCTGGGTTGTCACTCATTATAATTCTTCTTTTGTATTTCAAAGTATTAAAGACGATTTCTGAGCACAGTTAAAGCCTTTGCTTAATCATAACTCACGCTCTAGCACTTATAGCTCTGGACGTTTACACACAACCATTGTGGGTAAAATTGTAGCGTTAAATCACATTTTTGAATTGAAAAAGCTTCCTGGATGGGAAGCAAAACCTCTTCAAAGTCCAGTGGATTGTTGTTCATTTTCTTTTTTTGGAATGACTATGACCTGGATGACTGAGAACCGGCATGTAGTGTCAAATATTTGAGCCTTTTCTTGCCAAATGGGGTATAATGATTATAAAGTAGGGGTGTAATTCGATTCATTTCATTTTATTACATGTCATGTTCACTGAGCCAGTCCAATAGAATCAGATTGGCAAAATGTTTCTGCCAGGAAACCAGCAGTGAGTTAATGAGTTGCAAAACGAGCCTGAAGCAATAGTTGACAGAAGCTTGCATCGTGTTTTTGCTGCAATCCCTCATACCGAGCATGCATGTAGAAACATGATTTATTTTGAAAATGCACAACACTGGGCGAGTGTTCTTTCCCCTAAATGAGCACCTTAATGCTCAGATCAAATATGCAGCTGCCCACGTACGGACAAGACTCGTCTGTTCTAAAGGAAACCTCATGAGTCAGAGGAGACGTTTTTTAATTTTGACAGAATGACAAAAAGTGGCTTTCAAATCTAAGAAAAGTTTACCAACTGCCTCCAAATGGTGGAGGCAAAAAAGTCCTAAATCTACAACTTCACCTCAAATCAACATCTAGACCAGAGGTGTCTGATGTTATTATCTGAATGGTTCAGAATGAAGCATCCATGGATCACTGGGTCTATGCAGAATTTGATCTGGAGAGGAGCTCATTCAACCATTGGAATTAACCTTGATAAAGTATTGCAATAATAACCACTATGAAACATACCTTTATACCAAAACCTGGACATTAAATCAGCAGGTCATGTCTTAACTCCAGGCCTGTATGATGTGAGAGTTGCAGCCAGAAGTTTACTTACTCAGTTTTCCCTGGCAGATATCAAGTCTTGAAGCTCCATCCACTATGAACTGTGGTGACATACAGAGTTCCTGGAGCAGTCAGATGAAAAAAAGGGAACGAAAATTATCAGTAAATTGACCTTTGGAGCTTGTCGGAAACAATTTCCTTCATTTTTTTCTTTCATGTTACAAAACATGCTTTGCATTTGGACTTAAAACAATTCTGTGGTGTTGCAAAATAATCTTGCTTCAATCAAAAGATCCTACCTTAGCAGATGGCTCAGTAATTCCGAAGAAGCTGTACTGCAGCCTCATGTTTAAATTATTATTATTTAGTCATAAAAATACATATATTCAGAGTGTTTATTTAATAGACCTGTGTTGACAAAACACAAATTTATTAAAAACAAAGTTAGTGTCCCTTTTAAAGGTCTAGACCAGGAAACAAGGGACGATTCTGGACTTTTGCACAGAAATTAGAGTAAAGTTCATGTTCTTGATGTACATGACAGGACTAAATAACCAGAATGAAGGTGTGGTAATATCGCTGCTTTAAATCAAACAGCATTTTCTGTTCTTCCCTGAACGAGTCAGTGTTTTGTTGGTGGAACAGACAAACCACCTATATTCACACCTAAAGGGGATGTAGAATAACACAGTAAACTAACACGTGTCAGAGGAAGTGGGAGGAGCCATAATGGAAACTCCATGCCAGAAAACCTCCAGGATTTAAACTTAAAGCACCTTCTTGTTGCAAAGTTGCAGTGCAAAGAAAAAAATGTTCAGACAGAGCAACACGATAACCAAACAATGAGCGCCCTGCATACCGGTGTCCGTTATAAAAGAAACCAATTAACGCCTGGAAGTCATCCAACTGAACGGATGGACGGTAGGCGTGCCAGAGCAGGGAGACACACAGCAGGATGTTCTTCACAATGTTCACCAGACCGGTTTGCTCATCCTGCGGCCTTCACCTCAAACATTCATTGTTTGGAGAACGGTGGCTCATGAAAGACTTCTTCACATTTCCTTTAGATCATTTTCATGAGACTTCACAGACGCCATGTTATGGTGCTTTCTTTTGTTCTTTTATTTTTTTTACATCTTTAAGCAAAATGTGTTATCAAAATGTGTTTGTTCGGGGGAAAGAAAAAAAGAGTTTTACTTTTCTCTTATTACAAAGATATAAAGTCAAATAAACTCCAGGACCGTTGAGCTTTGGTCAGGTGATACTAAGATGGAGACGTTCGAGAACAAACACCCCTGGTTGGTCTGGTGTGACACAAGGGAGAAATAGTTGGAATATATAGCCTTGAATCTGTACAGTGGAGGAAGTGTGATGCTGTGGGCCGTTGTATGAGTGTGTAAGGAAATACTTGAGATCTCCCTGGGTGTGTCAGCGTCATCATGGTTGTAAATATACGACCCAATAAATACTGGAATTTTTCCCTGGACCCAGAATCAACGTTCTTATGTAGCGTTTAGAAGATCAATAGGTCTGAATGGAGATATGCTTGTTTTGGTGCTCCAACCCTCTGAAACTCTAAAGAGTAAAACCTTTATGTCGAAAAAGCAAAAGAAGGTTTGTACAAAGAAGACAGCAGGGTAACCAATAAAATCCGAAGATGTACTGGGTTTAACTTATCAGCTCATTTTTCATATCTGCTCCTGTTTCTGTTCTCAGGCTTTTATGACCCTAAAATAGGCCAACCTCCTGTTCCCATTGAACCTGGGATAACATTCACTGCTTTGAAGTTGGGACATGTGGCTAAAAGTTGAGTTACAAAGCCAGTCTGGGCATGTTTGGCATTAGACTAGGTTTTCAGCTCCAGTAGTTGCTCTCAGGCAGTGGCGGCTCTAGACCAAATGTACCAGGGGGCCAGGAGGGGGCCAGCATGTTTTCATGGGAGCAAAGAAAAACATGAAATAAAAAACAGGGCAAGGGATTTAAATATTTTAAGATAGCTGCATGAAGTGAAATGTCTATTCAATTAGCCTTGATTAAAATTCTATGTCTTATTAAGTGAATATACATTCATAATTTAGGATTTTACATATTTTTTATTTAATTTACCGGTAAGTCAAAATTACTGTTTTTATATCAAATCTGAATTAGAACTCAAGAGAAACTATTAAATTCACCTGTAAAATTTGAGTATTTATTTTAATTTTTTTTGAAAAATAAAAAACATTTAGCAGATGAAAACTGTGATGTTATCTTAATACCACTGAAGCTATCACCTTATTGTTATTAAATAATAAGTAAAACAGAATTTGTAAACAAAAATCCTGAAATAGATCCAAAGGACCTGTGAGTAACATTGTCTGCTCCAGCGCATATCATCATTAGAATTTCTTTGAGTATTATGTCTTCAGCACAGGGGTCATAACAGGGGCCAGGACATGATCTACAGCAGGCTCAGACTGGGAACGATTTTGGGCCCTGGCATTTTTCCATCTACACCGGCCCACTTATACTAAAGTCTATTGATCTCTTAGGCCATAAATCTAAAGAAAAACATTTTTTACCCATAGACGGCCATCCTAAAATGCCAGATTGGGAAAAATCCCAACCTGGCAACATTGCATGTAAGATGGGAAACGTTAGCCTTTAGATGTAAAACCCCATCATGCAACGCAACATATTTTTGCAAAATATTTGAACATAGATTCGCCAAATATAAGAGGAACATTGTAGTTTGGCTTAAAGAAAGCATTTTAGTTTCATTATAATTTAGTTTGTTGCAAGGATTTTACAGTTTGAAGAAATAGAAAACCGTCACAACGATATGCATGGCATGGAAGGCCTTTATATATACTGCAGCATCAATTAGGTAATCAACATTGTATTACTTCTTGAGCTCTTTGAGTTATTTACTGTCACAGGTAGGAACTTCGCCTGGAGAGTAAGTGTTAGGGCCGGTTTGATTTAACCCTTGCATGCTGAAATTAGGTATAACAGATTACCAGGGCTACAGGGGCACTGGCCCCTGTTGGCCCCTGTCTAACACCGCCCATGCTCTCAGGAGCCCCAGCTTCAGGTTGAGCTTCAGGTTCAGGTTCAGCTGACAAAAGTTCCCAAACTTCTCACACTTCTGACATATAAAATGATGCCAATATCATAACCCAATCTACTGCTTGATTCTACAAACATTTCATCCATCCATCCATTTTCAAACATGCTTATCCTAAGTGGGGTCGGTCAACGGGCGAGAGGCGGGGTCCACCCTGGACAGGTCGCCAGTCCATCGCAGGGCAACACAGAGACAAAAAATCATTCACACACACACACTCACACCTAAGGAGAATTTAGAGAAGCCAATTCACCTAACAGTCATGTTTCTGGACTGTGGGAGGAAGCTGGAGTACCTGGAGAGAACACACGCATGCTCAGGGAGAACATGCAAACGCAGAAAGACCCCGGGCCGGGAATCAAACCCAGAACCTTAATGCTGCAAGGCAGCAGTGCTACCCACTGCGCAGCCCACAAACATTTCTACATATTTAATTAATTAAATCTAATAATATTACAGCTTCAACCAAAATGTTTTTGTTTGTTTTTTTGTAATTTTAGGCAATTGTTTCATCTCTTCCTTATAATAAAGTCTTTATTGCTTAATTTCTGTTGTGGATTTGAAGAGCCCGCACTGATGATCAGGGACACTAACTTTGGGAACCAGTGGACTGATTATTTTCCCTCATTTTGATGTTTTACCTTCGGTCGCTTCCACCTGACTCCAGACTTCATCTCCAGGTCTCCCACGGGGAAGGTGTAGTCCACGTAGAGACCGTCCCGGCCCACGGAGCCCAGTTCCCCGCTGTCTGAGGGCATGTCTGAGGCCATCAGGTCCGCCAGCCAGTGGCGGGACTGGGAGCCCATCAGCTCATCGGAACACACCGAGTCCAAGTCATCGCTGTCCGGCGGAGGCAGCGAGTTTTCAGAGGACACGCTGAGGGACTTGATCATCTTGAAGCCGGGCTGTGTTTACCTGAGCACCGCTCTGCAGGTAGATAAAAACACCTGGAGGCCCCGCCCACCGGGAACAACCACCTGCTTTATTAAGGTGTGGCTCCTCTATGGTCTCAGCAGGGGCGGAGGATGCAGGCAAAGGAAGCAACCGCCTGGGGCCCCAAACCAGCAGGGGCCCCACCTCAAAGGGGGGCCCCTGGTTGCCCACACCCCTAAATAACACCCGTGGGATATTTAAACATGTTTGAATTAAAATCCAATTATTTGAAATCCATTACTCTGCACAAAATAAAAACAAGGAAATATCCACAGAGTTGGATTCTGGTCCGTATTTGCGCACATGGAGCAGAAAGAAATAGATCCAACTAGAGCAAAGACAGCGATTAGACCTTTATACCAACTCAGAGCAGGAAAAAAGTCAGATATAGTCGGTTATATATTAACCCAGCATGACGTCAGGTGGAGGTTTGGTCTACGAAGAGTCACTGCGGTCACCCAAAAATATTATATCTGGAATAAAAGACATTAAATACAAAAATTAGACTTTTACAGAAATGGTTTGATAGAGGAATATTAGTTGTAAAACCAATTGCTAAATCCAAATGGTCATTTATTGTCTTACTCTGACTTTTTTATTTGTCCAATTTCCTGTTACCCCTTGGATATGTTGTTGTCTTTGATGCAATCCGCAGTGGGTCATTAAAGTTTTCATCATCTTTACCGACACGTCAAATTCACTCAGTGCCAAGCTTTGTTCCAAAATCCATTTATATTGATTACGATTTTCCTTCTAGAAGTAAGAAAACAACCAATAAAAGGTTAAGAAATGTTTTAATACAACATGTTTTTTCACCAGCTTGTATATTTTACTGATCCAGCATTTTAAAAAAATATAAATTGGAAGTGGATTGGTTGCTCCTTCCAAAAATATTTAATAAACAATAAAGTAAGAGAAGTTTTTTTTTTTCATAATGTTTATCTTGTTAAAGTATTTTGATGAAAAGATATAAATGGGGTTTTGAAAGAATAATGAAGAAAAGCTTATTAATATTTTTTGGGGATTGTAAATATACCAAAATATTCTGGAGAGATATGTCAATTTTTTTTTAACAAAGAAATCTCAATATTACTTTAACGTTTAAAGATGTTTTGCTTGACAGAGAAATGTGATCTGGTCAAAACTGATTTTTTTTTATGTTGTTAACTTTATTATTAATGGTAAATATATTCAAATCTATAAATATTTACAACAAAAAACACATTTCCAGATTTTATCCTCTTTTATCATCTACATTGAATCCTTAAAATTTAGCTCAAATGCTAAAGCCGTTCAAATGATAACTGTTCTTTAAGAATTGCAACCCTCTAGTACAGATTTGATTTTAATATTGTAAAATAATTACTCTATATTCTGTAAAGCCCTTTGATGTTGTATTTGAGTGTAATTAATGTTTTATGTTGTTCTTGTATTTTCTTTGTTTGCAAAAAAATAAAAAATGAAATATAAATGAAAAAGATCACTGCAGTCGCCATGAGATGAACTTTACCTGCAGCTAAAAGCTCTGGTCGAGATGGCAAACTGTAAAAATCCTCTCTGAGAGCCTCTAGCTGGATTTACCTCAAGGTATAAAAAAATATCTGTCCCTTATTTCAGTAATAATACTCTATGGTATTGCTTTTAACACAATAAAAGATCCTTTACATCATCACGACTGCAGTCAGTACAGCTATACATGCAGATAGAATACATGTTGCTCAATAACATGGTAAAAAAAACCGACTGGTGTCATATATACTGTATTGATTCTAAACATTAAGGTGCTATATTTAAAAGATAAGCAGCCTTAAAGCAATTAATCAGTTCATTTATTTGATTACCTTTTAATTTTTCTGAGCAATGTGTAATATGTACTAACATAAAGATAGTTTTACCAAAAGTAAAACATAAATACTATTTCATGTATATCATTCTAGATAACTGAAATATTGATAAAAATGGTTCAAGATTAGGCTCTTTATTATATTTAAGGCCCAAAAGTTAAAGCCATTTTCTCTAGTTTTATAGATGCTACAGACGCTCTAATCAACGTTAATCAAATGTTTGAAAATATCTTGACATAAATTAAATAATAAAATGTGTCTTTTACATCTAAAAAGATTCAATAAACTGAACTTTATATCAGTTTCTGAGATTCTCTGAGTTGAAAGACGTTTGTTGATCAGAATGTTCAAAAATTCAGATAAATAACTCAGAAGCCTGACGAGCTCCACTGAGGATCTTACAGCTACTTTTATAAGTGGAAACAAAAGGTAATTTTCTGTACATTCTTGTTTGATAAACTTCAATTTACAGCAAAGTATTTATTGCTGAAACAATATATGAATGTTCATTATATACAACTATGAAAACACATTAAATCTGGTTTATTTTTAATTTAAACCAAACTTTAGTTAAGTTGAAGTAAAAAGGAATAAAAGGGCAAGTTACCATTTTTGGCTTGAAATTTTGATTTTCAAAGTATTTCAGTGAGTCAAAGTGAGAGAGTTAAACTGCAAATTATTTGGAGGTGAAAAAACTATCTGAAACAGGCAATAAGCTCTTTAAATTCAGATGGTTGAAAACTGCCAATATCATAACATTAAATTAAAGATGCTCATCCTAAAATCACCTAATTCACCCCTGATCTGTAAATCCAAAGGAATGTTCAAAAAGTCTCTTTTTTAAAATGAACTGGAAACAGAAATAGATTTTTATCATTTTATTTAACTTTTATCAATAATGAAAACAGTTGTTGGGTCTGCGAACGTCACTGAGATGTAGCCATGATGCTGGAAACACCTGCAGGGAGAAAGAAAACAATTAGGAACAAAAATTTTTAAATAAAATTATAAAATAGAAACAATCATTTAGAAACATCCTGGTAATTGTTATTTTCTTCAGCAAACCTGGAAATGTTTTGACTTTTCTCCTTTTTGCCTTCGAATGATAATTTTACAAATTCTAAAATGTTAAATGATAAAACTTTAAAAAAATAATTAAACTGAGCTAAATGTTGGACAGAATGGAGGAGTTTTAGTTATTAGGAAAGAAATAGACACAGGAAGATGATTAATGGCATGAATCGACTGATTTCCATCGGGGTGTTCATGTTTGATCCGTTTGGTTAAAACACACAAAGCCGAGGCAAAGTTCTCTATTCCTCACTCTCAAAATCGATCTTCTCCACGATGTTCTTGGGCTTGATGCTCTCCTCCTGGTTGAAGATGAAGATCTGTCCGTCCTCGTTCTCTGTCCAGCCGTACTTATTCATCCACCCCTTTAGCTGCGTGTCTGAGCAAACAGGAAGCGTGTTTGTTTTCTGACCGAACTAAAACATCACAAACACCTGAGCCCTAAAGCAAAGCTGAGATCTTCTGTTCTCACCCAGCGGGTCTCCCAGCATCTCAGCCAATAGCTGCCTGTCGATGGTCTGGTAGGTGATGCCCACAACATGACAAATGACTGAGGAGAAAAAGGAATTTATTGAACCAGCTCTAAGTGGCTTTAATCACCGTTTAGTCAGAAAGTCAAACTCACACTTCCGGACGGAGTCCTCGAAACCAGTGATACCGTCGATGAGCTCTCTGTTCTCCTCTAGACTCGTCTGTCAGGAAGACAAAAGGCTTTCAGTGAGTTTAAGGAGCTATGATTGGTGGTCTGTCTTCTTTTCGTTAAGTCTGCCCTTCCCGCCATCTTTAATCAGGCGGTTTGTTTGTTACAGCTAGCGCTGAAACAATTAATAAGATTAATCATGTTTAATTGACTATTAAAATAATTGTCAACTAATTTAGTAATCAGTTAATCGTTAACTGAAGTATAGAGACGGTAAAATATGCTTTTAGATGACAGAGCAACTCCTCAAGTGGAAAAGTTTTAGTTTCACCTGGTTGAATTTTACAAAAAGTCTTCTTTAAGGAACCTTTTTCTATCAGCTTATTAATCGAAAAAATAATCAACAGATTAATAAATTTGCAGAATAATCATTAGTTGCAGCCGTAATTGCTGCCAACACACACAGTTTATGCAGTGGTGTAGTTCACCGTTGTGTAATTTCGTAAACACATGATGCAGCAGAAGAGGATAAGCTCCAACTGTTGGACGAACAATGAGGTCCAGGCTCTTTTAAGCATTTTTGCTAAACATTTAGTTAGAGTAGGCGACACACAATGATGGCATCTATGCCACGATTGCAGCCAGACTGGCCGAAACACATTCTTTACACCATAAAGCTGGTGCAACCTAAAAAAAAAGGAAGCAGGTCTTAGAAGAGACTGAAGGATAACAATCGTGGCAGATCAGACTGCCGGTGTAGTTACCATGCTCAGTAGCTAACAGGTTAGCCTCTTTTAGCTCGGTTAGTTAGCCATATTACGCTACAATCCTTTTAACTTTGTGTCAACAACAACCATTCATTTTCCACAAGTAAAACAACAGTTTTATTTGTCTAAAATCTCCACGAAAGTCATTTTTGAGATGTCCCATTTGTCCTTCCTGTCCTCAGATCTTAATAAAAAAATGAAAATAAGCGGAGACTTTTTCTTGTCACCTTGTTAAATGGCAGAGCTCAATCTGAGAACGCAGCACTTTCTTTCAAGACTTAGAATTATTGTCAATGAAATGTAAAATAATAGCAAATATAGGCAATAATATGTTGAGACTCCAGTTTGTCCGAGTGGACAAAGCTGCTAAAGACTCGGCATCGTCAAATATGGAGGCTGTTAGCCCAGAAGAGCGCTTGGATATGGACTGCAGTTGGAGTAAGTGGCCCGTTCTCACATGTTCTTAGTATATCTTGCAGCAGGAGCAGGGATGGTGAACAGATACTCGCCTGCGTGCACACACAGCAAGTTACGCTGCATTCATGATCACGCTCCAAAATGTGGTGGTGTTTACGTTTTTTGGCGGCCACATCATTATATTAATTAGCATGGCTTTCAAAGTAAAGGAAGCGGAATATGACGAATCACCCGGGTGATACACAG